GCAACAAACTTGCAATCACATTGCAAGTTTCAGCCAAGCTTGCAACAAACTTGCAATCACATTGCAAGTTTGTTGCAAGTTTGTTGCAAACTTGCAACAAACTTGCAATCACGATTGCAAGTTTGTTGCAAGTTTCATTGCAAGTTTGTTGCAAACTTGCAACAAACTTGCAACAAACTTGCAATCGTGATTGCAAGTTTGTTGCAAGTTTGCAACAAACTTGCAACAAACTTGCACGGTCACCTCTGCAAAATAGAAAAAAATCTTTAAGTTTTTGTAAAAAAAATAAGGTTTTCTTTTTAAAGTTCAAAAAATGTGCCAAATCACTCTAGAATACTAGGCGCTAGGCACCCCAAATCCAATCCGAAGTACTAAAAGCTGCACCCCCGACCCCTATACCCCTAAAATTCCAGCCACTGAAATCCCAAACCCCTGAACTCCTGCATCGTAAAAACCTCAAAACCCTGTACCGTATAAACTTGAAACCCCAAACCCCCCCAACCCCTGATCCACCAAACCCCCAACCCCCTGCACCCCGAATCCTAAAACCCTGAAACCAACCAAAACCCTAAACCCCTACCTAATCCGCCACACCCCCTACACCCCAAATCCTTAAACCTGAACCCTAAACGCCTAAACCCTAACGGGCTAAACCCTGAACCCTTAACCCCTAAACTCCTACACCCTTCAAGGGTGGTGGGGTGGTGGTGGTGGGTGGGGTGGGTGAGGTGGTGTGGGCTGGGACGGGGGGCCATCATGCGCATCAGTTGTAGTGGATTCTAACCCAAACCCTAGGCGCTATTGGATAGGTTTGGGCTTGGTTAGGCCTAGTACTATGACTGTTAGTACTTGTCTTAGCATTATTACTATCACGACTCTTACTACTATTACCACTATTACTAGTCCTACTATGACTAACATTCATAGTATTGCTATACTACTAGCAGTGCTATTCGTACTATTGCTATTATTATTATTATTAATAATGCTAGTACAACCGCACTATGATTATTATCTATGACTAGTATTACTGCTACTTTAACTAGTAATAATCATACGGTGAATATTAGTAGTAGCAGTAGTAGTAGTAGTAGAAGGAGTAGTACGACTATTAATACTATTATTCTCACTATTACTACATAGTGACTATTTCTGTTTAGGATTTAGGGATTTGGAGTGTAGGGGGCTTGGTGTTTGGGGATAAGGGTTTGTGGGGTTTGGGGATTATAGGGTTTAAAGTTTGGTTGGTTAGGGGTTTAAGGTTTTGGGGTGTAGAGGGTTTGGTGTTGGGCTTTGGGGTTTAGGATCTGGGGGGTGTGGAGTTCAGGGTTGAGGGGTTTAGGGTTTAAGGATTTGTGGGGTTTGGGGATTAGAGGGTTTGGGGTTTAAGGATTTGGTGTGTAGGGGGCTTGGTGTTGGGCTTTGGGGTTTAGGGTTTGGGGGGTCCGGGATTCAGGGTTGAGGGGTTTAGGGTTGAAGGATTTGTGGGGTTTGGGGATTCAACCCCGAAACCCTAAACCCGCTCACCCTAAAAAACCGATTTGTTGCCGTTGAATATGGGCCTCGGAGCGGTGCCCAAGTGGTTTTGGCCTCGAAGCGGTGCCCAAATGCTAAGAAGTACGATTTGTTGCCGTTGTTTTGGTCTCGGAGCGGTGCCCAAGTGCTAAGAAGTACGATTTGTTGCCGTTGTTTTGGCCTCGAAGCGGTGCCCATGTGCCAAAAAGTACAATTTGTTGCCGTTGTTTTGGCTTCAGAGCGGTGCCCAAGTGCTAAGAAGTACGATTTGTTGCCGTTGTTACGGCCTCAAAGCACGATTTGTTGCCGTTGTTTTGGCCTCGAAGCGGTGCCCAAGTGCTCAGAAGTACGATTTGTTGCCGTTGTTTTGGCTTCAGAGCGGTGACCAAGTGCCAAGAAGTACGATGTGTTGCCGTTGTTTTGGCCTCGAAGCGGTGCCCAAGTGCTGAGAAGTACGATTTGTTGCCGTTGTGCTGGCGTGGCCAAGTGCTAAGAAGTACGATTTGTTGCCGTTGTTTTGGCCTCGAAGCGGTGCCCAAGTGCTACGAAGTACGATGTGTTGCCGTTGTTTTGGCCGCTTCACCCTAAACTCCTAAACCCCGAAGCCCCTACACCCCAAATCCTTAAACCCTGAACCCCTGAACCCTACATGCCTAAACCCTAAACCACTAAATCCTAACCCCTTAACTCCTGCACCCTTCAAAACAACCCCTGCAGCCAGAAAAAACTCAATCCTGGATGGGTGGTGGGTGGTGGGGTGGTGGGTGGGGTGGTATAGGGTGGTGGGGTGGTGGGGTGGTGGGGTGGTGGGGTTTTCACCGCCTTTTGGCCAAAGCCCCTGATATGCGAGTGAAGAGACACCCCCCGCAGAGCCGTTCCACCCCCAATCATTTGAGGCTTCGAACAGCGGATGCCACCACACCAAGTGGCCATTTTGGTCTGCCTGCCTCCCCCACCCCACCACCCCACCACCCCACCACCTCAAACAAAGTAACCATGCCGACACATAACCGTGCAAAACAATCATGCAGCTCGTCAAATGCAGTAACACATAACCAGTCAAAAAAGGTAACCATGCGAACACAACTCCTTGCGAAAGTAATCATGCCGCTCGTCAAAAACAGTAACCATGCGAACACATACCCAGGCAAAACCGGTGCAAACAACAGTAAACATGCAGCCCAATAGCCTACAACCTCCCCGCATCTCCTTTCTTGTCCGTCCTGCCCCCCCCCTTCTTACAGCCCCTGGATACTTTTCCTCTTTGCCGAACAACCTGCCCCCCCGCTCTGTTGTCGCAAAAGCCGACAGTAACCATGACCAAGCCTTGCAAAAATCAGGAAAAGTCTGCATTCATGCACGACATCTCCAATACAACAACAGCTTTTTTCATGGAAAAACAATGCTTTTTATACCAAATTACCTAAAAATAGTTAAGGCAAAACAAGCCTAAATTAACTAATAGTTATAATTCTATTTTAACTAATTAGTCAATATTTTTTCTAACTATTAGTTAGGAAATTAACTATTAACTATTAGTCAGGAATTTGCCTTACCCGATCTATTGGGCACGCACACACGCACACACGCACACACGCACACACGCACACACGCACACACGCACACACGCACACACCCACACACCCACACGCACACCCACACGCACACCCACACGCACACGCACACGCACCCGCACCCGCACACGCACACGCACACGCACGCGCACACGCACACGCACGCGCACGCGCACGCGCACGCGCACACGCACGCGCAAACGCGCATGACGCGC